CCGGCTATAACGTATATTCGTTATAAGTCATTTTTCACCTGCTAGGAGAAATAGATGAGAATGTGAGAAGCGAGAGAATATTATACGCTCACAGCAGTTTTCGCGATAAATGCAACAGTGATTTATTTTTTTCGGAGAGCATGAGCGGCAGATAAATCGTTTCTTTTTCAGTGAATTCCTGATGCCGATAATGATTTTTCACTTCTTTCATACACCTGAAAATTCACTTTCCGCACGCAAACGATGATCCGAAATTAAGAACCAAAACAACAGTTAGGGCACATCCATGAATTACGTAGAATCTGAAGAGTAATGGAGAAGGGGTTTCAACATTTGTAACGGACCATGCATAAGGTATAGAAAAAAAACGCCACGAAGCGGGAGGAGAAGGTCTAAAATTGGTAAGAAAATTGAATCGTCATTTATGAATGACCCTTATCTTTTGACAGAAGGTATAAATGAAAATAATAAAAAATCTGCCGGACTGGTTGAAGCCAATGAAATGCAAACAGGTGAGACTATGTGAAATCATTGTCCCTTTCGTTCTGCCGCTGTTTAAATGGATAACACAGTATGATGTCACACTCCGTCAACCATTCAATAAGCGGAAGAACAAAAGAGACGGCAAATTCCCAAGCCTCAACTGTTTACATCACATTGGGTTGGAGCCGAACAATTTGGGGTGGTATTTTTTCGCACTTGGTAGTTTTCAGAGCCAAAGGGTGATGAAAAAGTATTTTCGTTGGGTTTTTCGGATTATGTATGAGAGAGGATAATGAATTATCGGTGAAAAAGGAGAGATGAAAATGTGAACGGTTCATCACTCACCGAAAAGTAGCTTGAGTGAGGAAATGCGTATCGTGAAGCTGAGTGAGAATTTCTATCTCTGATTCTGACGATTATTTCAAACAAACCGAAAGAAATTTCAAACCCTGAACCAGTGATGGAATTCTCACCAAAATATCATTTTCGCTTGCGATACGTTTTCTCTTGGGAACTTTCCCTCACTAGTTTCACACTCCAATATTTCCTGAGCGAACTTTCTGGGATGAGAGAATGAGATATCGCGAACTTTTTTAACTCGAATCACCAACGTGAGGATACGAAAAATATCAGATCATTTTTTCTCTCTATCTCTTTACACCACATTCGTTCTTGAAAATTGCACTGCACATTTCACAAGGGAAAGATTATAGACAGAAAGCTATCCCGAGTAAATCAATACAATCTCTAAAGACTGATAAGTCTGGTACCTGGCTGTCTACTGGCGCCTGTTGTTTAAAGTAGCCGTTATCAGGATGACACTGAGTGACTCAATTGACAGTGACAATGAGCTTCGAATGAGAAAGGGGCTCTTCAAATTATGGTCATGTGAGAATTCGTTTACACAATTCTGTGAATGGTTGTAGTGGTTTATCTTCAATCGAATGATATGAAAATTTACAGCACTGGTTACAAGTACCGTTCCGATTCAAATTTCGGACGATTCAAATTTCGGACACTTTCATTTTTAATTAAATATTACATCCAGTTAGAAACAAAGTAATAATGTTAGATGATCGTGGAGGGCACTAGTCAAAAAAATTTAAAATTTACAAGACATGTGGATCATATTCGACCGAGATAATCAACTTTTAAAAGTGTCCGAAATTCGAGTTTAAGTGTCCGAAATTTGAATCGGCACGGTATCTATTATTAGCTGGTTGCATTGAGAACTAAAACTATAAATAAATCCGGAAAACTTTGAGATTAGGGCATAATTTCTTTTGTAAACACACACTTAATTCGCCGATTTCTCGTGAATTAAAGTTCAATCTAAAAAACTAACAACACAGACAGGTAGAGGAATGATTCATTTGGTATAGTATAGTTCGCTAGATTGTGCTTTGATTCGTGAGAAATCGCTGAATGACGTGTTTGTTTACAAAAGCAATTACGCCCAAATCTCAAAGTTCTCTGGAAATGGTATTTAATGTGAAGGATGCGAAAAATATCGGAGAACGAGAAGAAAACAAACAGACACTCTCGCATGATCATCGCCTACCTTTACTCGCTGGAAAAAAAGAACAAAGCTGAGGGAATATTTGGTTGGTTCGAATCAAGAGTACGTGTGAAATGAAGTGAGATGGAGAGACGAAAGATCTTTCGCGATACGAAATGAAAATTTCTCTCGCTCTACGCTTTCATGAACTTTTTATCATCTCTCGTTCGCGAACTTTTTGTGAGAAGTTCCTTTGGGATTTATCTCTGCAATGAGCTGTGATAGAACTTTTTTTGAAAATGATTTTTCCAACACTGCCCTGAACTAAAATATTTCCAGATTCCAGGATTTCCCAAGAAAAACTAGTTTCTTTTTTCAGGGAAACTAAAAATGATCGGAAGATTGAAACACTAATTTCTAGTAAAATTGTAATAAGAATTCAAAGAGACCAAAACTAACTACAGTGCCTTCCCGAGTTTGGCAACATGACATCACCAGCTGATTTGTTCTTAAAATGTGTGCTACTGCATTCTGGACAGTTTTTCATTAAACGCCATGCAGAGAAGATCCCCAAAGATTGGACTAGTTACCACTAACTTGGTATTCTACTCAGACATAATTTGGAGTTCTCCTTAGAATTCAAAAGGAATCCTCCACACATTTTCTTCGGAACTCGCTCCATTCAAAGTTTCCTTGGGATTCTTCCAGAAATTCTAAGAAAACCCCTTTCAGAGTTCCCTTGAAAGTCCTTAACCTTCCTTTGAAATTTTCCTCGGAATTCTCTTGGAAGTCTTTTCATAATCTACTTTGTTTGTTTATTTCTAAAGTTTATTTGGCAATGCAATAATATAGAATCAAACGATTTATTTGATTACTTTCCCGGCGTTTTGAAAGTGATTACTCCTTTTTCGAAGAGTTAAATTGTGAAAGTTTTTGTTACTTGCTAGAAAATCTATTAAACGCATAATTTCATTTCTGATACCACTATCAGAAATGAAATTATGCGTTGAATAGATTTTCTAGAAAGTAATGAAGACTAAAATCATGCGTGGCCATAACCAGGAAGGCTTTGTACTTCCAAGATCTAATAATAAACTTTCAATATCATAGCTTTACAATTCTGGCATGGACAATAATATTAATATATCGGAATCAGAAAAGTAATCAGTATTGTTTTCATAAAAATAAAAAATCCACGAGCCCCTCATTTAATCTGTCAAACGTTCATAGCGAATCAAAACAAACAAAGTGTAGTACTAGAATTAAGACTAGAATGGGTTACGTTAACCGATGTACTTTGGACCGATGGGCGAGTCCAGTGTAAGCTAATTTAAAATCATTACTTTCCACCAGTTGTTACAATTCTCTGGTCTGAGCATGAGCTTTCAATTAAAGATCTCTTATAAATATGTTTTGTCAATGTAGGATTCGGGACCTTAAGATGAGCACATCACGATAATCAATCAAATATGTTCTACCTAAGAAGACATGCCAGCCTTACTTTTGAAAAAAAAAATACATAATGATTCCCATCTAAAACATACGGCAATCTGATATCGGAACCTACCAAGGTTCGTCGCTTGTGCTTGTTGCGGTTTTTTTTTATATGCAAAATCTCTTAAGAACATTCTAGAACCGTACAGGTTCTACCTGGCTTTAAAACCTGTCCAGTCAATAATTCCAATCGATGAACATCAAATCAAGGTTGCTCAGATATTGCAACTTCATAATGGATTCCCAACAGTCAAACGCAATTTGCTTCAGCTAGTCTTCAGTGTACATCGCATATCCCCACATCACAGGTTCTTTGCCTGCTAGGTATTCTAACACATAATGCAAACAGACGTCAATTTTGATTTCATCTCAAAGTAGCCAATCCAACATCATCTGCAAACTAGAAACCGGCTACAGAATAAATGAAGAAAAAGAAACACGTTCTTTGCGTTAACCTCACTACACCACATCTCATCGCCGGAGAACTTTTAAGCAACCGGTATCAACTACTCCTCCGACCTTCAAATTTTCTGCCAGTATGTGATTTTGCCAAAATGCACCATCTCTGCTCTGTTTACTATTCTCAAACATGTGTAGGGGAGACTGGAACTTATCAAATTTTCACATCTCAAAGCTGTGATTAAGTTGAATCAATAATAAATATATTGAATTGGTGCCCGAATATTTTGGGTTTTTGCTCAGTTTGATAAGAAATTGAAAACTCAGTTAGCAGACAATTGATCCCCTAAAGATTACACATACTTATGTCTGATAATATATATTATATTAGTATGAAAACATAAAGCTGTGATTGTAGATACCTGATCCCCTAGAATTTTCACACATTCGATCACGGAATGTGTGTAAAAATTTATATTCAAATAAATATCATAAAAAGGAGATCAAGTGTCCCCTAATTTTCAAAACTGCGTTGCCTGGATTTTTCCAAAAAAAAACTTACTTTTCGGAATGTACATATCATATCAGAAGCCTGTCGAGTATTATAAACTTATAAATGATATTGAAAACCACATCAAGTGTCCACTCTTCCCTATTGGTACCAGTACAACGACCACGCAGGAATTGAAAGCCTGCATGCGTCCGTCGAACTCTTGCCCCAGATCTGCATAAATTTTGCCGCCCAAATTCAAACCGAAGTGCTAACTGCACACAGACTTCCATACTAGATCGACATGTCGTCGACGACCAAGATGCATGTCTCATCCCTCCGAAGGCAGCGATCAACTTTCCTTTTATCGCTATGCAACACTGAAAATCGTTTCTAAATGTTCTGAAATGACTCACTTTCACAAAACACTTGATCAGACTGACATTCTTCTGTTTTTCTTCGGAAATCGCTCGCACCAGCTCACAGTCCGTTCAATTCGAATCACGTCCTTCGCCCCAACGAGCACGCACATCCAGCCTATGCCCACGTGGAAATCACCATTTGCCCTAACAGCAATGCGTCTAATGTTAAAACAATTTCGAAAATGTTAATCCAAAAACAAAATAGGTACGAAACTGAACAAACTTCCAACTCCAAATCGATCGCTAAACAACGCACGCGCGCACCGCGAAAGCTCAACTGACGATCGCTCGAAGCTCGAAAGTGCTACTGAAGGCCTACTTGACTTCAATGTCCAACCGTAGGTAGGCACCAGCGATCACACCGAAGACACACAAAGCAACAACTGCCACTCACGGAAACGAACCGAGGGGTGATCACGATCGATCGATCGATCATCTTCAACGGTTCTAGATTTACGGAGTCTCAGTAAACCCCCCGATGGGGATAATTAGTTCAATCCTTTTTTCGGGTTGCACTACACCATCGTCTCACCCCCCCAGATACAGGTAAAACACAATCACAACACAACAGTTTCTGAAATGCACCGACTGGTTTCTGGTTGTTTCGCGGTGCTTCCGATCGAGCAGAGCTTCAATGTTGCACTTGCTCGCGCATTGTCCCGGAGAGCGAAGCAGTAGGCTCTCTCTTCACAGTACGCAGCCAAATGCAACCGGCCTCCGAATCACACTCACAGTACTCCGGCGAGGAACCCAACACTATAGGGGGCTTGCTATGGATACGAGAAGATGTAGCAAAACACACCGCTTGCTTGTCTTGTCACCTGGTGACGACCTTCTTCCAGCGAGTTAGCACTTGGTACTGAAACACCGCGCTCACTTCGCGCAATATTTTATTACTTTTCGCGATTGTTTTTCGTGTGTTTCTTCTCCCCTAAACGAAATTAGCCAAAAAAAAATAGGTTCCACTACAGTTCCCATCGTATAATTCGCGGTAGCGGATTCGACCCGATCAGGGCGTCGCCGGAATCGCTGATATTTTTTATAGCTGTTTTTGTTTTGTTTGCTCTTTTCTGCGATCGGCGATACCCTCCGGCCCCTATCACCACCCACACATGCCGTTTGTTTTTTTCCGTCTAGTAGAAAGCCTTCTTTTTACGGTAAAAAATATTTGTTTTGAATTCCTTTGTTTTGATACGGACGTCTGCCAGCCGTTTAGTCGATGATTTAAAAAGTAGAAATCGGAAGTTATCGTCTCCGTGACTGGAACGGAATGGCTGGTCGTGTTGACCTGAATTCCAAATTTCAGAAGAGGTTTGTATGCTAAAAACAAATACTTTGCGTAACTTGTTGACCAGCTACGGTCCCGTCTGTTTATGTATTATTCTTCTTCGTGACTAGCGGATTTTAAACATAAGATTAGTGATAAGTGATAGTGATGAAGCAAGAGAAAATTGTGGGGCAGGAAGAAAGTAAATGAGCGAAATGGAGCGTATCCATGATTATTAGGGTAGGTCACCTATGGAAAAACGCAAACTTGACCTCATCAAACGAGAACAACCCTTTTTGGTTCCATTTGGGGTCCCAAACAACTGTGCATAATTTTGGGCCGATTGGTTGTACCCCGACTTTCCACATTGCGATACAAATTTGTATGGAAATTAGTATTGGAAAACCTACTTTTATATACATTCATCCCTGCACTCAAAAAAATTCCACACGTCATCATCATGTGTCTCACACTTAATTTTGCACTAATTGTGAAACACATCCATTTCATGTGTGAATTTTTTGCTTTGAACCATACGTGGACACCTGGGGGCAAGACAGCTTTCGATCATGAGTAAAACCGGAGTTAATTTTGAGTAACTCTGAATAACTCACGTTGCTCAATATCTTATATACACATACACACCTGATTGTTATATTGAAAATAATGTTGAAACCGATGCTGTCAAGCAAAGTAAGTTGACGTGCTTTCTTGGAATTTCTGTGTAGGGACTTTTGGGGTGGTTCGATATGTTCGGATTAGGCTAAATTAATTCAATAAATTCAATTCTTAGAGCAATATAGTTCACGTTTTTTTAAACTTCCAGTAACTCAATGAAAACGGGGGAGGTTGTTCATTGAAACTTCCGGTCCGCTTCGTAGCATAGTGCTTGCTAAGAGATGCCAAATTTGGAAGACGTCTGCATTGAATTGTCTCACATTGTAATATTCCGCCCACTAATATCACAATCAATTGCGAGTAGCTGAACGGAATGGAGATAAGGAAAGCATTTGGTACAGGACCAAGTCTCTTCCGGCTGGCGCCAAAACAATGAACCTGGTTAGGGGGCGACCCCGGCGTAGTGGTTAGCATCCATACCTCTCACGCCAAAGTCACGAGTTCAAATCTCACCCCCGGACAAGTCACGAATAACCCAAGAGTGTTAAAGTGACTATAGGTAATAAAAAAAAATGAACCTGGAAGCAACTGGATCAAGTTGTCATGGGGCACGAAATGATCCTGTTGCATGGCTTGGAGCTGTTGCTCGGGGGGGTTGGTGTTAATGTTTAAGTAGTTTTTGTATAATTTCAGGTGTTAAGGTGGTTCGCTGTCTCTGGATAGTGGGTTTGACGGTGGTTCAGCATGAATAATATTGAGACATACGGAAATGCAACAAACGTGTCAAATTAACTGCATTGGTAACGAAAACACAGAGGAGCGTACACCTGATGTCGGTGATAATATGACATTTACACAAAAGTGGAGATCAAATCAGATTGGCCAACGTCCCAAAATTCGAAACTTCGATTAAAACGTGGAATCTGTGCAGCACCAGTGGAGAGCACTCAAAAGCTGCAGGTCTCATCAATCGCTGCCTGCGGTATCTAACTTGTGGCTGGTGGCCTCACAAATGGATCTCAGATGTAAATGTCATCAGAAGCCGATATCAATAGAAATGAAGTCTGCAGGCAAGCGTTTGATTATGAATTAAATCCGCCAGAACATCGCAGCAAAGGCAAATGCTAAGGCGGCGGAGCGTCAACAAGGAAATTAAGCAAGCCGATAAGAATTTGACCTGGGCCCAGGTCAAGCAGCTGCCCAGGGGTGCACGACGTAAGGCATACGGTCGTTAGGCATACGGACGTTAGGCATAATCTACCGGATGAATTCCAGAAGGATGATAATGGAGACCGTCTATTGATTGCTGACTTCGGTGACAATAATGAAAGAGCCTTAATTTTTGGAGCTCATGAACGACGTCTTGGACAGGCAAAGTATTTGGTTACAGATGGTACGTTTGCCACAGTTCCTTGATTGTTTCGGCAACTCGTCACTGTTCATGGAAGTATCGCTCCCTCACATCAGCAGATGGTTCCGCTAGTTTTCATTCTGATGACAACAAAATCAGAATCGTTGTATCGAAAAGTATGGCAGGAAATCCTGGAAGCAGCAGGTATGTTTTTTTGTTATTGAATGAAAAACCACAGAATTAACCATTCTTCATTTCATGAGCTGTTCTTTAGCATCATATTTTATTCAACCTTGGCTGTTTTTTTTTTATTGAATGAAAAATCACAGAATTCACCATTCTTTATTTCATGAGCTGTTCTTTGAGGAAAACCTTTTCTTCTTTGACTTTTGTAATATGTGTGTAAGAATATATTACAACAAATCTCGATAACTTTTTCGAAGGGACGTATCAGCTTTTGTAAACAATGCATTTGATCGTCGATTTGGCGTAACTGGTAGCTCGCCCACGCATGCCAATACTACCATCAGATAGGGGAAAATTTCCCCTACCTGATAGTGGTGTTAGCAAGTGTGTTCGAGCTACCAGTTACGCCAAATCGACGATCAAATACATTGTTTACAAAAGCTGATACGTCCCTTTGAAAAAGTTATCGAGAAATGTGTGATTTTTTTTATTTCTAGATGCAATTGATTTCAAGATATAGTTCAAAACTAAGCTGAGTTTTCATTGTAAGATTACTTAACCACTATCGCTACTAATCATGGATCTAAGTAAATATGTAGATACGTCACCTATGATATGATAAATAATGGATTCCAAACTGTGCTTATTAAATAAACTATGTTTGTTTAACTTGTATCATTTTTTATTCAACGCTAAGCCTAATTTAAGCATTGTTTACAGGTTTACAGGTTAAGCAGGTTTCTAGAGTTGCACAGCAGCAAGGTATGTTATGCCTAACGTCCATTATGCCTAACGTATATTATGCCTAACGTCCATTATGCCTTACGTCCGTATGCCTAACGTCCGTATGCCTAACGTAACGAGGTACACTCGCTGCCCAGAATGGAAGTCTTTCACGTTGGCCCTGTGCACCTCTGGAGGTTCCCAGGTATTTGAGTACGACGACGATTCCAGTTGTCCCTTGGAATGGAATGAAAGCGAACAATTTAGAGGCGAACCAGCCTAAGGCTGAAAGCCTCCTAAATAAAGCTAAATTAATTAATTGAAAGCGAACAAACCTGATGTTGCACAACAAGCCGGCGTGTTTTGACGTAGGACTACGTCTTTGATTTCTATATGGGGGTACACTTTGTGAAAACCGAAAATGGAACATGTAACAAATTAAGAAAGATTTTGAACGTTAATAACTCAGCTGCCCCTGGTCCAATTTCAATAATTTTATCACCAATCGATCAGAAATATGGCTACGCATCGATAACAATACTTCTGAATGTTGATTTTCAACAAGAAACTATTGAAAAACTGGCAAATGTCCAGCATTATCCAAAAGCGTCGAATTAACTAACAAATCCACCAATTACCTACATGCATATGCTGCTTCCCCAGCACAGTCGTCAGAGAGTAGTAAGTAGACGAAACAAGTCGAAGTGGCATTCGCCTCCAATCCTCGGGCGCGTGCGAATAGGGAGGATGGAATTGCGTAATATTTTGTACACTCATCGCCATTATCAGAACCAAACGCAAATTCTTCGAGATAACTACCATCCGCCCTCTGGCTCGCCGTGGTGGTGTCTGACGTATCTCCGGTCTGATTTACGAGGTGTGCTGAAGGTGTTCCTGAAAAATGAGATCCGTGATGCTGTCACCTACATTAAACACGCCAAGCGTAAGCGGCCATGGATGTCATCTACGTTTTGAAGTGACAGAGACGCACTCTGTTTTGGCTTTGGCAACAAAACGGCTCTTTTCAGGGCCACCAAGCTTATTACAGTAAAGAGTAGTAATAGAATCCATCTGCCTGTTTGTCCATATTCAGAACCAACGATCACACAAAATGCTCATGTAATCAAACTGGAAACAGGGGTACAAATTATTTTGATCAACCTTGATCAACTTTGAATCGCCACAGCCGGATATTTTCGATGGAAGAAGACGGCAGGAAACATTTGTGAAGCCGAGTTATTTACGAAAGAGAGTGTCGATGAAGAGAATCGATCAATGTAGATA